CAAGGCCAGGGGGTAGATTGCAGATTTGAGCGAAGATTTGGTAGATTGCAGTAGATTCACGTACAACATGGTGATAAGCCATCCGTGGAGACCCCTCTCTTAGCAAATCCATCTAAATATGAATATGTAAGGAACTAAGGATTATGCAGAAGACAACCGTACACAATGAGAGGTAAAAAGTAGCTATTCATTCAGAAATTAAGAAAATTGTTGTGAGCGTTAATAATCTGGTTTTCACACAGTGATAAGTGGTGAACGTAGACACAGGCAACGGCAAATTTCTATATTTTGGTCGTTCTTCCGGTTTGCAGTTCTCTCGCCATGCTCCCCGTTGAATAATAAGTAAAGAAATTCATTTGTGAACTCTAAGCTTGGAGTTGTTCGTTTTTCATACGAAAGTAAGTCATAACTGATTCGAAAGTCGGTATATCAAACAGGCCGCTTGAAGAACGGCCCGTTTTATGATGACCGGTTGACAACAGGGGGCATCGAAGAGGTCGTCTGTAGAACGGTCATCCTGTCGACCATATGACACAGGGACAGTAGTCGAATGAGGAACGCGATGACGTCTCTTTGAAACGACCGCACCTGCCAAGCGAAGATTAAGAAATTGGCGATGCCGACAAAGTTGACGATCACCGCAGAGTTGGTGAAGCCAACGGCGATTGGCTCGTTGTCGCCGTAGTACAGTGATGCCATGTAGTAAAGCAGTTGGGAAAGGACGAGAAGCACGTTGTGGCAGAGGACGGACATCGCGACCGCGACCATCGTCTGGTCATCCACGTGGTGCTCTTGGCGTTCGTCGAAGTTCTCAGTGCCTCGTCGTTCGCGACGGGTCTTGACCGCGACCAGCAGGACAATGCTGACCAGGCTGGCGATCGATATTTTGACGTACCGATCCACCTGTTTGAAAAACACGAACGTACTGGAGGTGGTCAGTTCCTGGGCGCAGGTGAACACCAGACACCACGTGGTCAGCGAGTACTCGACGATCAGCAGCGCGACCACGTACAAGAAGGCGGACGTGGTCATCGCTGTCCGTACGACGTTCATCGACAACGAGGCGTACCACCGCGGAAAGCGAAGGAACACCAGTCGGTCGACGGGTACCAGGATATTCAGGAAGAGCACGAAGTTCTGGCCCACGTAAAACGGAACGAGTTCCCGGAAGCACCGTAAGCCGGTCATGGCAGACGATCGACCAAGCGCGATACGGATGCCCTCCGAGGTGTTGCGGTAGAACACGGCCGCGGCGAGCAACAGATGGCCACTGCACATCACCAGGATGATGCGCAACGACGGCGATCGCCATTTCTTGCCGAATGCGATGGCGGCTATCAACAGCGCACTGACCATCACCGTCACGAAGCTGACGATTATGCTGATCGTGATCCATGTCCTGAACGACGACCGAAGATCCGCGTTTATCAGCTTAGCTGTCAACAGTATTCCGGTGTCGTTGCAGCCGCGCCAGGCGTAGTTTCGGAATCTGAAACGGCAGACGATTTGCACATGATTAAAAAACAGGCATTTCCGAATGCGAGTACCTTCAAACATGGCAACATTTTGTGGATATGCATATGTTGGAAAG